CCAACATGCAAGTAATCTGACCCCAAATAGGATCCTGTCGCAGCCCAAATGTTCCCCAGCCCCACCCCTTTCCCCCTGCCACTCCTAAGGCCTTCCCCCTATCCTTGCTGTGGCAGTCTTACTCCCCCATCCCAACCAAAGAATACTACAGGCCCCTTCACCCAAGCACTCCAGGACACATGTCTCACCCAATCCAGTCAGCAAACTCAAGGGCATTGGGGACAGTAGCACTCAGAAGGATGATGGAGACATGATCAGGGAGCATGATGAGCACCTCCTCCCACACGACCCCACGCTGGGCACACAGAAGGAAAAGTGGTTAAAAGGAGCGCAGAGGGCACTGCCCTTCTGCCTCTAGAGAAGTGGCACAGAGTTCCATGTAGGGGCAAAGAGGGCAGGTCCTCAGGGTTGAAATAGGAGAGCTGCACAACTGGTTCTACAGGAGACCCTTGGGGTTCCCATACTCCTTACCTCAGCATCATTGATATAATGAACCTCATCAAAGATGACCCACTCCAGGTCTCGGATGACATCTGAGCCACTGTACAGCATGGAGCTGGGAGAAGAGGCCAAGGGCTGACTCCCCAGTGGCTCCTATCTCCCCCACCTCCACCTCCAGCATGCTCTGGAGCAGCCTCATCTTCCTAACCAAAAGTTCATCCATCCCGAGTACCCATCTCTCACCGAAGGATCTCTGTGGTCATGATGAGGCAGGAAGCTTCCGGATGCAGCTGCACATCCCCAGTGAGCAGCCCCACATCGCCGAATGTGTTCCGGAAATCCCGGAACTTCTGGTTGCTCAGGGCCTTGATGGGTGAAGTGTATATGGTGCTGGGGAGATGGCATGAAGTTAGCCAGGCCCTCGATGCAGACTCATGGTCAGTGTCTCCTCTCCCACATGTTGCCCTCCCAAAACCATGTCCCAGAAGCACAGGTGGTCCCCTTCCTCGCCCAAACTGCCCTCACATTCTCCTTCATGATATAACCCTGGAAATATGCTGTCCCCCCACCCCTTCCTAAACTAACCCAGGTCATTCTTCTAAACTCGCTCACCACCATGCCTTCTCATTTCTTTCTAGCCCCTACCTCAGTCTCTCCCCTGAACCCCCTCACCTAAAAGATGGGATAGAGAGGGAGGAGAAGAGATGCAAGAGATGAAACTCAGAAAGGAGGCAGGAGAAACAGGGCTGGTAGTGAAGAGGGAAGTTGGGGAGGGAACTGGTACCGTGTCATGTGTTTCTGGGCCAGGGCAATGGCGTATTCAGCCACAACTGTCTTCCCCGCGGATGTGTGAGCTGCGACAAAGACAGAGTTGTGCCGCTCTAAATGTAGGATGGCCTGTTTCTGAAACACATCTGGCTCGAATGGCCACTGTGGGAGAGAGAAATAGATGGGGGCTGAAAAAAGGAAAGAGGCTCCCTGCCTCTTGCTCATGGGGCATGCAGGGCCAAGGGGAAGAGACAAGAATAAGGCAAGGCAGAGACTGAGGACTAAGACTGACCTGGAACACATATCGCCTCTGGTAGAGAGAGAAGGGAAAGGGTGGGCTGGGAAGCTGGGCCAGGGGCTGACCCAGCAAAAGGTGCTAGAATGAGCAAGGACTAGCCACAGTACCTGGAAAGCTGGCTGGGGAATGAGGCGGTAGAAATCACCCACAGGGGAAGTGACATCTACAGGAATGGCCCACTGCTCCTGAGGTGGAAGTTTTGGGGGCTCTGGGGCAGATATAGCTGTGGACGGTTCCTGAAAATGCCAGGTATAGGGGTGGCAATGAGACGGCCAGACGGGTCTTAATTACCACTTCTCCCAAAAGATACCCCTTTCTTCCCCTCTGAACCAATTAGCCAACCCACCCGTGCTATGGCAAGGCCCCTTCTTTCTTGCCTCCACTGTCAGAACCACTGACCTTCAACACTAGGTCCTCCAAGCTGCCTGCTCGGGCCAGGGGAGCACTGCAGGAAGAGGCTGAAATGGTGTCCCCGCTAGATTCTGCTGGCTGTCCCAGTGCCTCACTCTCATCCTCATCACTCCCACCCAAATCTAGAGGCTCTAGCAGACGGCTGAGGCTGAGCAACCCAGGAGCTGGAGATGGGTGATCTGAGGAGCAAGGCAAAAAGGGTGACCTTGTCAGGTCCTTCTTTGATCTGTAAAAGGGCACTACTTCTCCTACACTCCCACCATGAAACTAACACTAACCTTTGGGTGCAAAGTCTACTCCCTTCTTGAAACCAGGTGGAACGGTAAGAAGATCTAGAGGACAGGGAGAGATAGAACCAGGACCACTGCACACTGGTTCTGGTGCAAGTGTTACACTACAATGAACCTAAAGAATACCATTCACAGTACAGACACTGTAGATCGGGGTGTTTACTGTGACACTTGTCCAACAGGTGACAGTAAATGTTGTTATGGAAAGGACACCTTTTTCTAATTTGCCCAAAGGCATGGAAGGGCTCAGACCCAGAGCCTCACCTCACCTTTCTCAAAGTCTATCTCCTCCTCAGCCTCCTCCTGAGTGCTCAGATCTGTTATGGTGGGTTCATCCATCCCACCTGATGAGAGAGTGGAAAGACAAGGATTCACAAGATGATGATAATACAAGATGAGTGGGGAACCCTTCTCTGGAGACTAAGGGCTCCCTCTCCTACCATCCCATCTCACCTGGCCAGAAGGGGTACTGTGTTGGATTTCCCCATAAGGACTGGGAGACGGGCCCTGGAGGCCGGCTAAGAGACAAGGAGGTTGTAGCCGACAGGTTTGTGTTCTCCAGCAAGACCTGAGGCAAGAGATCAGAGCTCCAGCTTGCCTCTAACCTCCTCATCTTCTCCCAGGCTGTTTCCTATAGCCTCTGACCTCTTACCTCCTTATAGCCCAGTATCTGGCCTGTAGTTGAGTGCCTTTGGGCCTGTAGGTCGGATGGGACGGGGGCCCCCACAGCAACCAGAAGAGACCAGGGATCTGTCTTCCTCTGCCATTTTCTGGAGAGGAAAAAAAAGTAACTTTATCCTTCTGTCCCAGCTTCCTTCAAGAACCCATCTCCCTAGTCCAGGCCCCTCCAGCCAGACTCCTCACCGAGCTGAGTGCTCCACACCATGCAGAGGGAGCCAGGCTGGGGATGACAGAAACAACTGCTCTGCTTCTTGCTGCAGATCTGGAGCACAGGGAGGGAGGCCATGGGGAAGCTGAAATAAAACAAGATGAGAGGCATTAGGTAAGGAACGAGGGCAAAATGCAGACAAAAGAGGTGATAGGATTTGTGTTTATTTGGGGGTTTTTTAGAGACAGAGTCTCACTCTGTCACCCAGGCTGGAGGATAATGGCATGCTCATAGCTCACTGCAGCCTCAGACTCCTGGGCTTAAGCAATCCTGCCAACTCAGCCTCCCAGGAAGTGAAGGAGTATATGCAGGTGCCACCAGAACCAGCTAAAAAAAAATTTTTTTTTTTTTTTTTTTGCAGTTTTTTGGCCAGGGCTGGGTTTGAACCCGTCACCTCCAGCATATGGGGCTGGTGCCTTACTCCTTTGAGCCACAGGCGCCGCCCGCTAAATTTTTTTTTATTTTTTAATTTTTTTTTAATTTGTTGAGACTGGGTCTTGTTACATTGCCCAGGCTGGTCTCCAATTCCTGGCCTCAAGCAATCCCCCTGCCTCAAGCCTCTTGAGGTGCTAGGATTACAGGCATGAGCTACCATGCCCAGCCAGGATTTGTGTTCAGATCAGAAATAGCAGATGTCCCAAATAAACTAGGACAATCAGGCTAAAGCAATATTTTTCAAAGGTTATCCAAGAATTCCTTGCTATTCAATTGTATTGGTTAATGATGCAGATTTGGGGTTTCAGAATCATGGAGACCAGACCTAGTAATTTGCACTTTTGAAAAGCTCTCTGCTGATCATGAAGCACACTAAAATTTGAGAATCACTGCAGAAAAAGAGGTTCCAGACCTAAGGATGAAGAGAGTCAGGGGCTCAAAGTCTAGCATCTCCACCACCAACAAGTGCCCTGGTGCTTGCATACAAGAAGGGAGCTCCAAGGAGAAAAGACACATTTGAAAAAGCAGCTAAGGCTCAGCGCCTGTGGCTCAAGTGGCTAAGGCGCCAGCCACATACACCTAAGGTGGCAGGTTCGAATCCAGCCTGGTCCCTCCAGACAACAATGATGGCTGCAACCAAAAAAAAAAAAA